CCTGTGGCTCGTCACGGCCGCACTGGGCTTCTCAAAACGCCCCGTCTCTGGGGCTCGTCACGCCCGCACTGGGACTTCCTAGTAATGCCCCCTCCTGGGGCTCGCCGTGCCCGCACTGGGCTTCTTAAACGGCTGTCCCCTTCCCTGGGGCTCGTTGTGCCCAACTAGGGCTTCTCAAAGTGGCCTCCTTCCTGGGGCTCGTCACGCCCGCACTGGGCTTCTCAAACATGCCCCCTCTCTGGGGCTCGTCACGCCCGCACTGGCGCCGGGGTCCTCCCACTCGGTTGCGAGTCCCCGATGAGGATACTGTGCCCTCACTGGCGCTGGGGCCCCCACCCCACTGGGCGTCCCTATGAGGCCTCCTCCAACCCCTTATAGCCTCACCCAAACCACCGGTGTAATACAATGACAAAACAAAACCACAAGCCCCTAGGCTACAACATAACTATAAGCCGCCTGGCTATAACCACAGAAGTCGCCTGGCTATAACTTAGCATCATTGCTCAAGCCCCCAGAGCTATCATGAGCTGTACTTGCGATCAGGCTTCTTCCCACATCCTGGCTGAGGGGGCTCCTGCCTCTCTGACTGCTGGCAGGGAACTGCCAGCCTGGCCTCAGCCCTGGGCTTTATGAGGGCCAGGCCCTGCCCCCTCCGGTCAGCTGACTTCCTGGTTGCCCCAGGCAACCCGCAGCTGTGCTCGTTATGTCCTGCCAGGGCTCTCTCCCTGGCAGTTTCCACTCTCTAGGAGCAGAGCACCAAGGTGCCCTGTGACACAGACATACGTAGAATGTTGGTAGGATGACAAATCCAGGTCTGGGATGTTTATACCACCTTGGGAAGGAATCCTTTGTGTGTGTACAGTTCTAGTCATATCTATCTATATCTATCTATATCTATAGGACAAGACATATTAGCTCCTGAACTGGGAAATGTTACTTCTATTCTTGTGTGTGTTATAGCAAGTAGAAAGTAAAAGCATTTATGCCTTAATCCTGTCTCATCAGCCTCATCTATGCGCCCCAGTACAGCAGTTTAACTGAAGGTGTAATGCTAAACTGATTTACCTAAACTGATGAAAATCCCTTTACTTGGCCACTCTTACATCAGTTTAAACCTGGTTTGCATTAGTTTAACTTCCTCTGGTTTGTAAATTTAAGATTATGGTAAATTATTAACAATCATGGTTGACCTAGTTCAACATCACACTTTTTGTTCACTGTGTACAATGTACACACATGTAACACTGTGTTGAAACAAATCCCATCTCTGCAGACAAAGGGGCTCACAATCAAAGGAGCGATTCCATAATATAGGGCACAAGAAATCCAGAATCCCACTCAGAGGTTGCTTACATGGCAGGTAACCCCCTGATGGCAATGACTGACCTTGACTCACTAAAAGAATGAGCATCAGGTATCTATCCATTTTACACCACATTTTACAAGGATAAATGGAAATAATTCTTTGAGGCATACTGATGACAAATGCTATGTAAGAGCTAATTATTATGATTATCTATATCTACATATATCTATGTATATAGATATAGATATATATAGAGAGAGAGAAGATAGATCTATCTATCTATCTGTCCATCTATTTATATAGACCTCTGGTGCACAAGAATAAAAGTAACATATCCCAGTTCAGAAGCTAATGTCTTTTCCTATTGTTGGTTGTAAAAACATTTTCACATCACATTAAAAAGGGAAATTAAACAAATGACAGTGATATTAAGAGAAAAGCTGCTTAGTTCTATTTTACAAACAATTGCTAGCAAATCTTGGTTACCATTTGACTAATCTTAAGTAGAAATCACAGGACTTTTTGTTTTCAGAGCAAAGAGAAGTTTGCTTTTGCCCGCTCAATTTAAGAGCAGTGGGTTAAAGTAATCATAACACCATTTAGCCAAAAAAAGGAAAAAACAAATCAGACTTTGATACAAAGCCATCCTTTATCTGAAAGGATAAGCTGCAATGACAGCTACAAACTGTAATGACAAAACAAGCATCCAGAAGTTTAGTGCTGGCAAGAAGAATAATGCATTGAAATGCAAAGGGGGTGTCTGATTGGGCAACAAAAGAGACACATCAGAAAGTAAGATAAGAAAACTGTTCCCTCACTGTTCCCTTCCCCTTCCTCCATGCATTCCTGTGGGTCAGTCACAATACAACCTTTAGTTAAAAGACATGGACCACCCAAGCAAACAAGTCGTCATTCTCGCGAGAGAACTCTTGCAATGGGGATCCTTCCAGATTGACACTGGAAAATCTTTCTCCTGGAGGGGGCAGGTTTCCCCCAGGAGAAATTGAATGAATGCTTGTAGTTTCTATCAGGAGAGCAGTGATTCTCAATAAAAATGTAACGCCTGTATGTGGTTTCAGTGTTGACAGGTCTAACTTTAAGGTACCCATCCTTAAGAGTAGAATTCACAAATCTGAGTTTGGCAGCTAAATCTCCCAGGCAGTGAATGAGTAGAATTAGGGGCCAAGAGTTGGAATTCATAGCACACACAGCAACAGGAGGCGTAAAACAACCAATGGGAAACACTGAAGAGAGGGGCATGCAGGGCTGTCCCTGGGAGCTGCCAGCTTTCTTGCATCCAGGGGCGAGGTCCCGCATAGCCTGATTTGCCCCAGGCCTCACACCCTGCTCGGGTCATCTCTGGGGGCATGTCTGAAGTCCTGACCTCCTCCCATAATTTGGGATCTATGTCAGATAAGCAAGTAACATGCCAAATTTCCTCCTGGACTTAAGTGCCAAATGTGTTTCTTTAAGTATTGTGAACTGGTTCACCATTTTCTTGTTAAGATTCTGACACTATCTATATTTTTTGTACAAGCAAACCATTTACAACATACACTCTAATCTGCTCCCAATGCTGATGATACCTTTTACCCAAAGACTCTTTAAGGCAAAATCTATGAACAGTCTCTGGTGCATGGGACCAGAACCCAGGTCTCCCTGCTCTTCGGCAAATGCCTCATTACTGGAGTACAAAATTTCCCTCTTATGACATCATCTGGCCTCAAGAATCTGTATTTCAGGTTCAACAGGAGGAGTGGAGAGTGAGAGTGCTCCTATTCAAGCCTAGCCCATAGCTAAATGGTTGGGACAGGCTTCTGAGAGGTAGGAGAAGTCCATTTCAACCTCCTGGGCTGAGGAGGACCTAGAGCCCAGGTCTTCCACATCTTGGATGAGTGCTGTAACTGCTAACCTCTTACATTAATAGTAGATACTGCCTTTACTGTTTGTGTCTTAAAAGAGGAGGGTGAACCAGACCTCCATAATTCAAGAAACAACTTAAGTGCATAAATCCAAAAAAAACTTAAAACAACTTAAAACAACTTAAACTTAAAACCCAATCTCACCCAAGTACATAGATCTGGAGAGCAATAGAATTTCAGACACACCCCTCTCTTTGGTATTTCCTATCAGCTTATGGAGCTGCCTGTTGTAAACTTGTTCTTTGGTGACTAATTCTTCTCAATGGGTGCGTCTACATATCACTGTATGGCAATGTTGCTATGGTGCCATAATTTAGTACTTCCTTTTGGAAGTACTATAGCATGGTGCAGTATGGGTGGGTACTGGATCATGCAGGTGGCGCACGTTTAGATTTCCCAGCTACATAACTGTAGCGGCGTGCTATAAGTGGGGAGCATGCCACTATGGCAATGTAGCTATTAATTGCACGTAGGCCCACATGATTGCTATGTTATCATCATAGCATGCTGTACAGCGACGTGTAGACGTGCCCACTCAGTGCCAAGATAACTTAGGCATCAAATTCAGGTTCATGAATTCTAGGCCTTAGAGCCACAAAGTCCCTTTTTGGGTCTGGACTTGGATATCTATAACTGCTCCATTCTTTATTTAGTTTTACTATCACCAACTGGCTTGAAAGATCTGCTGAAATGGTAAAGAAGAGATTCTCAGATTGCAGTGCTTTGGTTGAACTTGCTAATTCCACCATGTGACAAAGGTCCTGGACATATGAACAGGAAAATCCCAGCTACCCAAAGGTGCAAAAAGTTGTAACCACATGATACAACCCCCTTGCACTGAGGTAAATCCACCCTAACTCAGGAAATCTTGCTTCAGTTACAAACCAGGGCAGTTTTTTTTCTTAGGCACAATGGTTTATTCCCAGGACAGCTGTTTGTGGCAGGTATCCCAAGGCAATTATTTCCAGGCTTTTGCCTCAAGGTTACCTCAAGATAATCATGGCAAAGTATATACAGGATTTATGATACACTGAAATAAAAGGGGAATTTTTAATGAGATTTATACACATTAGCATAATTGCCAATATTCTTTTGTTCTTTATTTAAAAAAACTCTGATGAGGCATGACAGCCTTTAAATCATTTAAAATAATTTCTCCATTTGGAACACAATTTTCCTAAGAGGATTTCTCTATGTATTTTGTTTCTAGGAAAGGAACACTTACATCACTGAATGGAATCCTGTTGTGGATCATCTCTCTCTTCCAGAGTTGTAGCAGCAGGTTTCTATATTCCTGATTGAATGGCCCAGAGTAAGAGAGAAATCCTGTGGCCAGAAGAACATTTCCCACCAACTGAATAATTTGATTCTGAAAATTTTTGCTGCTTTCTGTCCAACGAATCTAAATTTTAAATTGTTGTAAAGAACTCTGTTAGATCGACACAATACTCAATTGAAGTTCAAATCAATGTCTTTACTTTTTCTTACCAGTATACTTTTAAGGTATTTGAACTATTTTTATTTAAAACAATTCATTTTGAAAGTGTTAGAAGTTGCCTAAGTGATGCTGTATTGCTTGTTTGTTTATTCTGTCTGAATAAAGACCACAGAACCAGAACCTGGGTGTGTCTACACGAGACATTTCCTGCGGAGTAGACTAATTAGCTCCATGGTAAATGTCACATTTCTACATGTGCACCCCTATTAGACTGGAGTAAACTAATTAACTCCACAGCAGCGCACCTGTAGACACTCCCCCAGCTGGCTGGGGCACAAAGGTGCTTCAGTACAGGGGCTGCCTGCCAGCTAGACCTACACTGGAGCACCCTTGCCCCAGCCAGTCCTTCCGCAATACACTGAGCTGGGAGGATTAGGCCTGGGCTGTCAGATTGATCACCAGGTCTCCTGGCCAGCTGGGGATGCTTTGATCTGGCTCAATGTGCTGCATTCCCAGGAGCACATTTAAACAACACGCCCAGGAACAATAAGCTCTAGAGTTTATTGTTTCATATTAACTGCATGTGTAGATGGGCTCCCTGAGTGTCTTTTAAGAATCAATTTACAATGCTGTGAGCCTTTGTAAAAGTATAGAAGACCCACAAGTCCTAAAAAATCCTGTGATCATGAAAACCTACTACATTGATTCCCAGCAACCATTTTGTGTTTGCTCTTTCAATTTATGCAGTAATACCAAAAGACGTAGACAAAGCACTCTTCTCTTCTGATGTGAAGTTTTAGAGCACAGTCATGAAAGCAATAAAGATAGCTTTCTGTCCTCAGACTTCAAGGATATGATGCAGGAAGCAAAAGTTTCTTCACTGGTCTTGCATAGGCATAGTATTCAATTTAAAAAAATCTTCATGATGGAATCATTGAGAACTGGCACAATACTTGCATTCCACTACTTCAATTTCTGTATGTCAGCAATAAACCAGGATGGATTGTGAAAAAAACAAAACAGGAAAGGAAGCACTTACGACAACTGTCAATGTAAAGAACAAATGGTGAAGTCTGGTCCCCAGTAGAGTGAACGGCAAACACAAAAAGTTTACCTGACTCACCCAAATAGTTATTAGGTACTACCAAATAATTAACAAAGGAAGAATATCTTCCTTTGGAGCCTTTAGGAAACCTTCAGTTTCCATCAGCCACTGAATGGCAACTCTGATATCATCAACATTTCCAATTTAATTTTCTTTTGGAGATTTATAAGCACAAATTCAATTTTTGCACTAGACATATGGAGGTTTAGGGGTTTGGAGATTTGAAATGCTGCCAAGTCTTATTTTTTTAATGGAAAAACTAGTTTTATACCTGCAACTCAATTGATTATGGACACAGGACACTGCAGAATCAAAAACGTACCCTATAGGTTACTGTATTTTCAATGCAGAATTTTACATAATTAATCATATAAATAATCATATATCTTATGATAAAAGAAACTTATTTTGTATTTTTCTCCATGATCAAAAAATATATAGCTCTCCGGGGTAAAACATGAAATACTAAACTTGGAAACAAATTTATTATATATAAATATTTTTAAAATGGCTCTTTTAAAATTGTACAGGTATACAAATAGAAACACAAATTATTTTTGTAAAATTCAACTCAAAATATTTTTCAGGGAATTAGTTAGTTCTTTGAACTACTGTCCTTGCATACCTGAAAAAAAGAATAAGCACCTTTAGAAATATTGTTATGCAAATATTGAGTTAAGACATAGTCCCTGTTCTTACCAATGTTTTGCCAGAACTGCATCCACTCCTTGATCCTAGCCCTTAGTCCAACCTGATCTCAGTGACCACAATGAGCATACAGAAAAGTCTTATGTACATAAACAACTCATAACTTTTTTAGACAGGTCCAATTAATCAAAAAATGTATATGCATCCAAAAAGCAATGACATACACAGTAAAGTTTTCATATGATCCTTTTTAATCTGTGGATTTACTTAGCGCTGTTGTTCATCAGTAAGGAATGCACACAAACAATATAATCTAATTTATGCTAGATTTCTGCTCAGATGCATCAGTACCTTTTCTCCACCTAATCCTTCAATAAGGGTAGTGGCATTGTTCATCTTCTCCCTGCAAGCCTTAGCATCATCCAGTAAAGCTTGCTTCTCTCTCATGGCAGCATCATACATGGCTTGGACTTCATCCAATTCTCTCTGCTTCTCCTCAAGCTGGTTTTGAGCATTATTCAGTTCAGTCTGGGCAACTGTCAGCCTTGCTTCTTGCAATGCTAGATTTGTCTACACATATTTTAAAGTGAAAAATATTTAATACTGATTATTTGACAACTGCAACTTAATAGCATTCTTTCCATGATCCTGTAGTGTGACATGTACTCTACTTTATGTATACATTTTAATATAATGCTTTGCTTAAAACAACAATATTCCAATATGTTTGCTTTTCCAGCTTCAGTTACTGATAGAAAGCAAGTCCGCTGCTTGATGTAACACTAAATTGCATGCTTAGCTGTTATTTTTAGGCCAAGTCTACAATAATAAACAGTTTTAAATCAGTGGTGCTATTGAAGGTCATCATGAAATGCCTGTACATAGAAGATGGAGATAATCTGTTCGGTATTATACCCAATACTCAAACTTCCTTTCAAAGCAGGGTTTGAATTGCGGGGGAGATCAGGGGGGCTGAGCCCCCCAAAAGGGATGAGAATCCATATATGTGTGTGTGTGTGTATGTGTGTGTAGTAAAGAATTAAGGAGACACTACATGAAACCTTTTTTAGAAAAAGGCTTTGTTTCTGTGTTTATATTAGTATTTATTTTATTTAAAATTGTTTCCAACTGATGTGACTATTTAGAAATCTAATGAGCATCATGTTTAAACAGTATGCAACTCACCTCTTCTTTTTTGCTATAAGATTGCTGAAATTTTAATACCTTTTCTGGGAAAAAATTATTACCATCATATATCTGATAAAATAGTTGGGCAACCCTATTATCAAAACAATAAATGAACAGAGCATTAAACTCATTAAATGACTCAGTAAGTCATCAAAACGAGGACTGATTTGTGACATTCCTACTAAGGAAATGTTAATTCTAATTAAAATGTGCTGAGATCCAATGTATTGTTCTCACTCAGATAATGAAAACGTTTGCAAAAGAAAATCATAGTACACATCTTGAGATTGCTACCCAAGAATGATCAAATATACAGCATGGAATCTGGTAGGCCCCAAAAGACAGGAGGCAAAATCCCACTTTATTTTACTAGCCATCTAAAGTGCAACTAGTGGCACTCCCTAAGGCTAGGAACAGAGGTTGAATTTGTTTTGGGACCAGTTGTGCCTGGATTTGTCCCAGAACAGAAAGGTACTGGGACAGACGTGTATACACACTGTCCTTCCATTAAGGATTTAGCGAGCAGCTGAATGCATTGCAAGGTTTTTGTCATTGATTCAATGATGCGACCCTGGGACAGGTATTCAAATGCACTTTGTGATGTCTTCAGACAAACTGTTAACACTTTCTGGATCATATTTCGCTCAGACATTTTGCATAGAGACTAATGGTAGACGTGTGCACCTCCAGTGGGCAATTTAGAGTGCAGCAGCCTGCAGGTGATACATACAGCAACCAGCTCAGAGATGCTGGCAGCACTCTGAGAAAGCCCTATTTCTGAGAATGATTCACTCACAGGAAAACATGACACACTGCTGGACAAAGTTAGCAAAGAGCTCTCTCATGAAAAGTTCCCAGAAGACCATCCAAAGATGTCTGCCTTATTCTATCAAAGAATGAGTGCATTACCTATCAGTAGCTACAATCTCCTTGTGGATTGTGGAGGGAGCCACTGTAGACACTTCTGTGAGCACCCACTGGCTGGGATTCTGCCTCAGATGCAGTCACCTCTATCCAGTGCTGGCAAATGGCAGAAGTATCTTCTGGGCCCATTCTGCCTTCACTTCTGGTCTGGGGGGAAACCACTAGGCAGTGTAGGGCTGACCCCAGGTGTGGGCAGGAGGGCACAGAAGACTCAGGGGCCTCCAGGAAACACTAGGCACAGATCAAGAAAGTCCAGAGCCCACACCACCAGGCCCTGGCCCGCACAGCCAGAACACCACTCACCTGGCCAGAGATTCTTGGAAAGCTATGATACCTGGGCTAGATGCCAGAGAGCCTCTAGGTCCCTCTGAGGAAGGACATAATCATTACTTACCAATACTATCTGGACACAGAGGAAAAGCTCCTTGGCAGCTCCACCTCCACCATTTCCCAGCACTTGACCTCCTGTGCCCCACCCAAACAGTTTGCAGGGATGGTGGCAGCAGTGGTATGTAGAGTATGGTGCCTGACAATATATCCCTACTACCAAGAGGTAGAAAGAAAGGTGAGCGGCCTAATACTAGAACAACTGCCTGTGAATACAGCCAACCTAGATGCAGACAACAAACCTTCCCAGTTCAGGTCCCAGCACTCATGGGTAGCCTCACTCCACACAGATCCCTCTTACAGCCTGGCCAACTGGGATCCCTACTTATGCAAATACATTTGGCTGGTTCCTGGCCAGCTCTCTATAAACCAGCTCTACTCCAATACTGTGGCCATGACTGAGACTACTAGCCCCAGTGGAGATATTATTTTTCCTCTTATGCACACCCAGAGTGAAAGGTGCTGGATATCACCAATATGTTGTGCCCATGGCTACCCAAATAAGTCAGTTGACTCTGACTGTCTTTCAGTGCTGTTTCTCCACACTGTCTGTGAGCCCTTCCATGTAATTTCTGCCTGAGTAGCACAATGCTCTTTGCTTCCTATTCAGCCCCCTCCAATTCCTCTAGGTTTCTCATCTTGGATCCTCTGGGTTTGAGACTTCTTTATTCTGCTGCTGCTACCTCCCCCCTCCATGTCCAGTGCCTCACGCAGAGAAATTCCATGTTGTATAACTATGCTGTGCAGGGTACAACATGCCATAAGAAAGCTATTGACCTTTTGGGGGCTATACTGTAATATGCTACCAGATGAATAGAGACGTTGGCAGGTCATTTTTGAAAAGGCATGAAGGCCTATGGCCCTCTCCACAAGACTTGGTGCACAACTGCACTGTAGTTTGGCATCACCCTTGGGATACATCAGGAGCTTGGGGAGCCACAGCAGGAACGGGTAACTTGATCACAATGTCTGCTGATGTCAAGAAGATCAGAGAAACAAAACTGGCAGTAGCAATTATTTTATAATGGAGATAAACAAAGAAAATTTCACACTATGACACACCAAAAGCTTGTATCATGAGGATGATGAAAAGTTCAGAACCAACACCAAAGAAAAATATGCTAAGAAGTCTTTTTTAAATCCCACCATTAGAATTCCTCGTCGAAAATGTCTGCGTATCTACGTGGCACAAAAGCCCTGCAAGTTGGATAAAAGGCCACTGTAGATGCTAACTCACATTAAGTTTTGCTAATTGATTTTCCATATGCAAAGACTTGTTTAATTAAGTAAAGGGTTCAAGCTTAAAAGACTGTCCAAATCTCACAGTCCACTGAACTTGCATGGTTAAAGTGTACTAGTGTCCAACAGGATACAAGGCAGAGATGTGCTGCTTTGATTCCCTGTGCCAAATTACTTGGTGACCACTTTGTGAGTGAAGTCTTGGGATGCAAGCAGTTGAGGTATAACCCAGGCTGAAGCCAGAATATGGAGCTACAATTCAAGCTTACATAAGGGAGTCAGAGGTGTAACTAGTATTTTTGGCAAAAGACACATAAGCTAGCAGGGGAACTATGGAACAGAGGCAGGGGGCTCCAAAGTCTGGCAGCTATGGTCTCCGTCGGCACAGAGTGACAGGAAGTGACTAGGACCCAGCAGTCAGGAGGTGCAGGCAGATGTTGTCCAGCTGGGGTGGTGGCTCAGTGTGAGAAGGAGCACATGCTGCGCCCATGAACGGCGCATGGTCCTGGCGGCTGCGGGGCACGGTGGTGGCGGGAGCATGGCGGTGGTGAGCAGGGAACTCCCACAGCCACCACCAGCGTTGTCAGCAGTGAGGTGAGAGGTGGCAAGCACCGAACAAGGGTTGGTGACTACTCACAGCTGCCACTGGCAGCATCAGCAGCAGCTCAGGGGAACCGCGGACCGCCCGCAGATGCCGTCAGCAGCGTCAGCTGTGGTGGTGGTGAGCAGTGACTGCAGAGTATCAGTAGCGCCTTTTTGCAGGGGGTGCATATGTACCCGTGTGCACCCTCTACATGTCACCCCTGGCTGCACCCCTGCCTGCCAGGTTGGGAGCCCTTGGGGCAGGGTTGGGGGTGCTGCACAGCCAGGGCGGTACCTGAGGCTGGGGTGCTGGGGGCAAGAATTGCCCATCTTCCATGCCAGCAGCCGCTGCCTCACTGCGCCACTGCACCACATCTTGCCAGCCTGAGACTGCAGAGCCTGCTGGCAGCTGCACTGGGGCTAGAGCTGGAGGCAGCAGCTGAGGTCATCATGCACAGTGAGGCAGGGAAGGGGAGGGATGGGGAAGGGAAGAGAAGAGTGGAGTGGCAACACAGCCAGCCCACATGCTGCCCTGTCCAGCCTGGGGCCCCACCAGCCTCGCCAACCCCAGGGGAGAACAGCCCCTGCATGCAGGAGCCCCAGAGGAGTGCACCCTCCACCCCACAGCCCTAGCACAGGGGGGTGGGGGTGATGGGCGCAGGGGATCGAAGTGGCAGTGGGGTCTATGTGGCATGTGTGTGTGTGTGCGTGTGTGTGAGTGAATGAGAGAAAGATGGGGGGTGGGGAGGGACAGACGCTTTCGGTAGAAGCAACTACCAGAACCAAGCCTGGAGCCCCCCTGCCGCCCTAGAGCAGTCTGTTCAGGGGGAGACTGGCATGGAAGGGAAGGGACTTGCCCAGCCAGAGGCAAGCTCAGCCCAGTCCCTGAGCCCCAGTCAAGGGTTTCCCAGGAAGGGCTTAGGGACCACTGGGGCCTGGGCACAGGTTCAGGGAGAACAGCAGAGGCCAGCACTGCTCAAAGCCACAAAGCAGTGGGCAGGACAGCCACAATTGGACTTGTGTCCTGGTGCAGGGGGGAAGCTGCTGCTGGGAGGGAACAAGTGCGGGGCAGACAGGGGCTGCAGGTCGTGAGTGAGGGGCACCAACAGAGCCAGGGGGCTGTGGCTTGGGAGTGAGGGGCAACAACATGGGCAGGTGCAGGGCACCAGTGTATCAATGCTGCTCGGTACCACAAAGCAGCTGTGGGGACAACCACAGCTGGACCCACGTCCTGATGAGCAAAGGGGGCA